TATTTCATACTTTGCTTAGTCTCACTCGCATAAACACACCAAATCTCGTGCCATATCGTTATCTGTACGCTGCGGAGTCATATTTCCATTCCGTAACAAAAGATATAAAAAAGCCACAACATTCAATCACATATTTTTCCACAATACTCGCAGTGCGCTTCTCCTAGCCCATGTTCATACTTTGAATTCGGAGTCATGCGCTTGTATGCGCGTGTAGACGAAGCATTTAATTAATGGATTGATGGAAAAATACTAGGATTTTTGAAAATAATGCACAGCATCGTGTTTTTGCACGTCTCATGTGAAAACTTGTCTGGAAAGCGCGTGTAACATATCTGTAAACGTGTATTTACCCCCTCCCTCCCCCCCCCCCGCTTACCCCAAGATGATTTCTAATTTAGCATCTGCCATCCTCGTGTCGATCCATGATTTGCACCTGTTCCGCTAATCTGGGCAAGCTTCCGGGCTTTACGGCATACCCATTTCAAGGAGTAAAAGTCGCACGAAAAAACATATATGCAAAGTTTCTGTTCAGGATCGGTTCAAAATTGGATTTTTGGTTTCTCTGCAAAATCATCATGTAAAGTATGCTTTGCAAGGTTTTCGTCATGATCATGTGGCATATGCACAAATACATAGTTCATAGTTCAGCATCGGCCGCTATTGATATAATTTCTCTCTTTCTTTCATTTGTTGACATAAGAAAAGAGGAAGAAAGAAGTGTGGCAATTTTTTACGGCAGACAAACGTTTCATGTTCGTTGTTCGTTTCACTTGCAGCTAAAGCGACACTCGAAAACATAGAGGACGTTGTGTCCTATCTAGATAATTCATCGAATACGTACAAGGCAAAAAGGAAAGTGAAAGATAGAAGATCGAAGCGTAAGAGTCCGTTTGCGCTTGTCATGGTGTACAATAACTCATTATTTAGCCAATATTTCTTCGTATATATTAAAGCCCATGTGATAAGCATGTGATAAACAATTGAACATAAACGTTACCAAATCACGCATCATTATTCATGACATATACCCCTTGCCAAAGGTCCTCAGGGTGCGATGTAATGTGATATGCATGAGCAGGGTTTCAAACATCTCCATCACGCAAATCAAAAAGCTTTCATACTTTGATATTTCAGTAGCTTTGTAGTCGTTTAAAAAACGAAAATATCTGTTGAGTCAAAGATCACGAGAACTTTACGCTCTCCACTTCAACATTCCCGCGATGATAGATTAGCGATAGACAACAAGGCTCGGCACGAGGTGGCTTTGTCATGTCTTGGAAATTCTTGAACTTTGCAGCATACACACGACATTTTGTAGACACGCCAATGAATAGATTGAACATGGAATTCAGTATTCATGCGGGAATATCGATGGGACAAGTTTTGCAAGCAAAAGGGCTGCCTAAACTTCTCGGGTTCATGATAGTGAAGTTCGGCCTTGGTTGTGCTTGCCTTTTTATTTACTTTTCTTTTTTTATGTTTTCTTTTTTTTGAACATATCACTCTCAGAAAAGCGGAAGGGGAGTTCGTTGGGTGGGGAGAGGAAGGAGGGGGAGAGGAAACTGACTAAGGGCCGCATGCACTAACATCCCCGCGAGGAGGGGATCGCAGCTTAAAAGAAAGCTTTATATTAAGAAACTCCAGATACCTGGATTTCACGTTGTGTACCTATCCGTAAGTATTCCTAACCCTTCACTATGAACATGTTGAACAGGAGCGAGAAGTGTACAAACCGTATTTTCCAGCTTTTGTATGATCCCTGACGATCCCCGGCGTTTTTCTTTAAAGTCATTTTTCTTTCTCCGAAGTCAACGAAAAACCTCCAAAGTTGTGCAGATTATCTGAACCGACAGTGCTAAGCATGTTGCTGATAAGAACAAATGATGTTTTGAAGCCATGAAATTTTCGATGATCCACAGCACAGGTCGGAATTTGGGGTATACCGAAAAATTCGATTTTTCAAAAATCTATTTGTTCTCATCAGCAACGTGCTTAGCACTGTTGTGTTAGATTTTCAGTATAACTTTGGAAGGTTTTCGTTAACTTTGGAGAAAGAAAAATGACTTTGAAGAATAGGTGTTCGTCCCCCAGGGATCATCAGGGGATCCTACAAAAAGCTGGGAAATGCGGCTTGTACAGCTTCTCGCTTCTGCTCAATATGTTCTTAGTGAAGGACGGTGGGAGTGCTTACGGACAGGTAGACAGCGTGAAATCCAGATATCCGGAGCTTCAGGATATGAAGCTTGCTTACGGACAGGTAGACAGCGTGAAATCCAGATATCCGGAGCTTCAGGATATGAAGCTTTCTTCTGAAGCTGCGATCCCCTCCCCAGCGGAAATGTTAGTTCATGCGGCCCTAAGGGAGCTGGAGGAGAGGAGACAAGTGCTGCTGGAGACCAGAACGATCCGACCATGAAGCAGAACGCGTTCGGCGCATGATGCGGAAAGCATTTATGATTATTTCAAGATTTTTGTGATAATTGTGTTGAGATATTCATCCTTACATCTTCTATCATGGGGTGAGTGACAGCGCAAACGAAAAAACAAGTGACAAGTAGAGAAAACGGGGGAAGGGGGCATGGAAATTGTTGAGAAGCGGCTATGTTTCAAAATCTCCCGAGTTCCAGCTGTTGCCGAACCAATTGCTCACTTGTTTAGTCATTTATTCAGTACTTTCAAGGTGCAAAAAACACAATAAACACAGAAACACAATTCTAGCTAAACAACAATCTTGATATGTCAAAGTTTAACATCAGCATGGATTCAGCCGATAGTGACATCCGTTTGAAGAGGTCAATGCAAAGTAAATGATAAATATGCTCCTCTATGTTATAGAGGAGCATCCTGGCTAGTATGAACAAATGAGGATGCGGACGTTTTTTGAGGGACCACTGCTCAAGCAACAATTAGAACAAGTACGGAGCTTGCTGTCGCCCTGAATCAATGTGGGAAAACGCTGCAAACTCTTTTTTGCACCATGTGTATCCTACCAGTCCGAAGGTTAGATATAAAACCTATGCTTTCAAGTAAATTCAATTCAATTCAATTCAATCAAACCCTGAAAGAAGGCAAAGATTTTCCACCACTGCAATGTTTACACTACTGTAGCATTTCGCAATATGGTTCCATTTTTTGTTGAGAGATAAATGATAACATATAATTTAGCTTTCCTCTGCCCAACAGCTGGAAATATGTACACAAAGATGAGCATAAAAGTGCAGCGGAGAGAAAAAATTCAAAATGGAGCTATTACTAGTAGTAGCGGTAGGTTCACTTCCATTTCGCCCACCTTTCTATTCTCAAGCTTTTATAGACTCATCTACTCCTTCTTTTTAGTAGTAAAACGTACACGAATGCCGAAGATACAGGTAAGTAACTCTTCTCTTTCAAATAAATCGAAGTGGCTAATGTTCCTTCTAATAATCTAAAGAGATCTTGAGTAAACCTAGAAAAATCACTGAGAATCTGAGATGCTAATATACATGTACATCGAGGGCCCATTAAAGCTTATCCTCTTCTCAAGCGGAAGTGCCGAGGCATTCTTCAGCAAATCGGCAGAATGTCGTCTCCGGAGTAGACCCATCTCCAGCTACTACTATAGAAGCAGCATGTTATGTGTGCGGAACAGCTGCCTAGCACGTCCTCCGCGTGTAAGTAGTTGGCAAACTGTAAGCCCCGTTCTATAACGGTTCATTGCAACGTCATAGCTTGCGGTCTAGTAAACCCTTGAGAGTAAACTTGAGAGTCACAGCTGCGCTTGCTGATAATTTGTCGGGTCTCCGCGAATCACTCACGGCAACTGTGCGATTCCTCTTTGCTTTTTTCTGGATAACGATATCTAGATTGTGAGAATGCTACTCTGCTGAGCCCGCTCTCCAAATCTGCCTCATTTTCTACTATAGTTTCTATTAGCGCCAGAAAATTTAGCGTTTTTGGAAAAAAAACGTTGATTTATCTGGTTGTCGTGTAACTCTTATTTGCGTTATTCCTCCTTTCCATTTGAGAAAACATAGCTATATTAATAACTGCGCGAAACCTTTTATTAGTCTGTATTCAACGCAAAGTCTCTCGTACGCGGAGAAAAATGATGTAGGGATTTTCAAGTTACCGCAGCTAGTTCCATACATTTTGGCAAGATTCTAAAAGTTTCAGCAAGCTACCCAAACTACAACGAAAAAAGGCGTGACCACCCAAACTTCTGAGAAATTTTTCTCGAAAGGTAATACAGATCTCACAGTGTTTGTAGGAAAGTAACATTCCAAGCGAGGAAGACGGATGGGGTGACAGAAAACACTTTGAAAGAAGAAGGATGCAACTATTATCAGCAAATCGCTAAATTGGCGTCGAGGAATATTATGCATTTCCCCCACGTAGAAGTTATGCACTCGCGATATGAAGGCTTTGCATGCATTCCTATAGCCTGTTCAAATGTATGTAGGCTAAAACATTTCATATGGGAGCGAAGCATCCGATGCATCTCTGCGAGCACACAGCGCTGGCGTCCAGACGAGAAATCGAAGTACCCTAAAATCCGTACAATAAGTCCGTCTATCAGATAAGTCCACCCATCAGATAAGTCCGCAGCAAACCTAGCAGATAAGTCCGCTTTCTTGACAACGAAAGTCGCCCTCGCGCCGCGAAGAGTCCTGCAGATAAGTCCGCTTTCTCATGCTCAGGATAGGCGCACTTATCTTGCGGACTTATCAAGTTGAGAATTTAGGAGGACTTATCTGCAAGAATTTTGGCGGCGCAGAGGCGGACTGACCGACCGGCGCATTTTCCATAGATTTTTCGTGTCAAAACTGCAGATAAGTCCGGACTTATTGTACGGATTTTAGAGTACCCTAAAATCCGGGATATAAGTCCTCCTATCAGATAAGTCCATCAATCAGATAAGTCCGCTTTTTTTGACAAGAAAGATCGATGAAAATGCACCCTTGCGCCGCCAAGAGTCCTGCAGATAAGTCCGGACTTATATGCCGGATTTTAGGGTAATCAAAGCGAAAGCAGACATGGATTCTCAGTATGATATATTACATTATTACATTGGCATTATTATATTACATTGGCACAAGATTTCGTACGCATTACTTTCAAAAATTAATAACTTCTTGCTTTCTACTTCGATGTAAGGGGAGTCATGCTCTACATGTGAAGCTTTAAATAAAAATTGGAGAGGTCATTATTATAGGTTCTATTGCTTACTACTGAGCAAAGGTGCTGATTGATTGTTCTTGTGAATAGTTGTGATATTCGAAAAAGGGCTAAAAAATCAAATTGGGTGTTTTGTGCTGCTTGCTTTCAAAACCATAACTTTAACAGAAACAACCAATCACAATCTTTGCTCAGTCAGGAAGAGCAAGCAATAAAACCTATGACATCAACTGCACCGATTTTTGTTGCAAGTTTCGGATATTTTTACAGTTAAACGCAGAAAAATCAAAGTTTGGGCAATTTTCTTCTATCGCTTCTATCTATGCAATGTATGCTGAGTAAAACCTCCAACAGTAAGATACTCTTATGTAAACCATAAATCATGCTTTTGAGGATTGAAAACAAGCAAATCAGACAAGGAAACAAGAAGTTTCCATTTTTTAAGAAGGTTGCGAACGAACTTTCTCGGGAACCTAGTGGTAGACTGTCTCGTTGCTACAAGCGAACTCTTCCGAGGACAAAGCCTGTCATACTGATTTGGCCCAAACTAGGTTGGAAAAAATCGTACAACCGAAGGTCGACTGGGATACATATCGCAGAGATGAATCGATCATTGACGCTATCGCTTATACAGAAAAGCGGGTACAAGCCTGACACAGATTGGAGTACTGCATAGACGCGAACGCATCGCTCTATCTGCTCAAAGGGCTAATCGGTTGGAGTTGCGATAAGTAAAGCAATGGTTCTCATCCCCTTTGCTTTTGAGTCACCTGAGACCCCTTTCACCTCAGATGGAGGCAGAGCGTCAATAAAAAGCAGCAGAATTGAACACTAAAGGTAGAAGGTAAACTTTCTGTCGGTAAAAAACACCAGCTGGTGCTAAGCTAGCACGTAATTGCATTTTCTAATACCATAGCCTAGCGTTCGCTGTAAGAAACTCATGTTCTACACCCCTTGTTTGTCACGCGCACATGGCTTTGATAAGAAATATACTCAGAGAATTAAATGATTTCTGCTTTTTCAATTCTGCGTTGTATTATACAGGGTGTCCGTAAAGTATGTATACACTGTTTCTTCGTTAATATCTTTCTTCCCAACAAGTCTTTTGCCTTGGTTCAGGTACCATTTTGTAGGGCTGGCTTCAGCTTAGATTTGCAGTATAGAACGAATCACCCATCTCTCCTCATTACTGTAGGATTACGGTAGAAACTTGAAAGAGGGTTTTGGGCCATGAAAGGCCATATTTTGTCTCAGAAAGGAAACAAAACAGCCTGAAAACTTTTACACTAGGCTAATTAAAGTTGCTGATCCTAATTGTAAAGTTCCCAATTTACTGTGATGCTTCATTGAAGAGTTATGCCAGGTAAGAGGTAGCGGCCACTTTTTCAATGTTCCTAAAAAGTACGGTTGCACCGTTTAGAAAGCTTCGCAATTTTGTGAATAGTTGAGTATTGAACTCAGCGTCCATAAAAACCCTATTACACAAGTTTTCAGATTTTTTTGAAAAATCTTGAAACGGCGGCTTTTTCCACATTGACACCATATGTTTCAAGTTTCTACCGTAATCCTACAGTAATGAAGAGAGATGGGTGATTCGTCCTATACTGCAAATCTAAGCTGAAGCCAGCTCTACAAATTGGTACCTGAAGCAAGGCAAAAGACTTCTTGGGAAAAGAGATATTAACGATCAAACAGTGTATACATACTTTACGGACACCCTGTATATGAATGCAAATCCTCGGGAAAGAAGCAAGCGAAACATGAAGATTGGCTTGAGCGATGGTGGGCTTTGTAGAAAAGCACGAAAGAAACTAGAATGAAACTAGAAATCCTGATCTTTCAACTTTTGGCAACATCTGAAGTACAAAATAAGACTTCTACTTTTTACAACATAAGAATAGAATTAGACAAAACATGACTTTTTTACTAGCAGCTCCTCCTACCCATACGGTATACTTCGATTCATTGTGTTCTGGTATCGAAAGGCATGTTTGATATTGAGGCATTTAGCTTCCAGCTTCCGAAAGTCTTGCGCCCGCGATCCATTACAGCCATGACATTGAAGAAGCAAGCTAACAGTGAAAATTTCCATCCCATCCAAGAGCTCAAGAGTTCCATCTAATAATCTGTATACACTCAGAAAGCTAGCTCACGGAACAGGGATTCAGCATTGACCGACTTTTTACTCTAAATCTCCTTCTACGGAGAGGTAACGACATTAGCTGAAACAACGTGTTTTTGGTAGGAGATTACGCAAAAAATGAATACAGATGATTCATCGTTGTTGTATTACAGAGCAAGATTATGGCAATAAATGTAAACCATCCCTTATTCCAAGCTTTTTCATGTCGCGCGACTAATATCGTGTTTAGATAAAATCACCCATAACTCGATTTTTAGGAGAGCTGGATAAGAAACGGCCCATGTTGATTTCTTATTTTTGGGCTTTCGTATGACAAATCGATTGATGATTATATATCGAGTGAGGGGCAAAGCCTTCCGGAATCAATGAGAGTCTCTGTTCAATAAGGTTTAAGGCATTAGTTGACCTATTAATTTTGGCCCGGGGTAGTCTTGTAACTGTGTCTGCAAACCGCTCTCGAAATTGATACGTGCTTAGAGCCGCATGCATTAACATCCCCGCAGGAAAGGGGATCGCAGTCACAAAGAAAGCTTCATATCCTGAAGCTTCGAACTTCTGCATTTCACGCTGTCTATCCATTCGTAAGTATTCCTACCATTCTTCACTATGAACATATTAAACAGAGGCTGTACAGGCCGCACTTTCTAGATGCGGCCCATAGTTTGTGATGTTATTCGCGATGTTGAGCACGAATATCAGACTTTTACCGTTCAACAAACTCATTCGAGGTGGTTACAGTAGTTTTGATGTGAAGGTCATCTTATTGCACCTCAATGAAGTCGGTCGACAAATTTTCGGCACCCTGTTTAAGAAAAGGTGACGTTTGAGTTAAGGCGAGTTACGGTTTATAAATGAATACCTTTTGGCTTTGCAAGTCGTTTTATCCCGACCATGAAAGTTCTCGTAAAAGAGTATGATATTTTCACATTTTTTAAATCTTTATTTCTATTCTTTTTTAAAGTAAAAAATTTCGTTTTCAGCCTCGAATAGTCTCCAGAAACCGAGATTTAGTAAAACTCACGACTTTGGATTTTTGTGGCATAGATGGAAAAGCGCTATTATTTGTTGCAAAAAGCTTACTACAAAGGTCTCCTTGTCTCGAAGAGCGTCATTTGTAAGAAATCATTTACAAAAATGCAGGTCTTGACTTCATAGGGGAGCCGAACTCTTGACCCCACCTGCTCCATAGTCTCCGCAGCTACTCGCCTTCCGTTCACACATAATGCTTGGCCGACCATAGTCATAGAGGGCAGTGGTCATCCTGGGAAAATCATCGCTCATGACTTTTTCCAGAAGATCATAGCAGGGAACACGGGTTTGGTAGTAGTGCCCCAAGACCAGAAGAATGTATGCGTTGCTGTCGAAATCTCACTTCGACGGAGAGTACTTCCCTTGTAAGAAGCGATCCCCTCCCCAGCGGAGATGTTAAAGGCAGCGGCTCGGCAGATTGACTTACCTCAGATTTTGACACAGATGGATAGGAGGCCCTCCAAGTGAACCAAAACAGCAACTCCGCGCCGAAAATGTGAACTCTGCAAGCCAGGGGGCGGCCCAAGCGCCGCTCCCCTTCCTCCTTTCGCTCCCCTAACACCTTGTTCGGACGAGTATTCTCCGCTAGACGGCGCGGGACCCTCCAACCACTTTCCCGCATAGTGCATGCTATACAAAGCCAAAATTACAGGCAGCAGGTTCTTCGTGCCAGGGCCTCCCGACTTTCCTGAAAATTCTCGTTCGAGCTGCTCTTTGGAAATTGAAAAAAAAACGCCCCGAAAAAGGCCTTTTCACCGCTTTTGAAGCTCAGATTCGGGATCTACGGGTCGAGAAGGCCCAAAACATGCAAAAAGATGGAAATGCAAAATCTGCCGAGCCGCTGCCTTTAACGCATGCGGCCCCATGAGTTTCGCTGGAGAGAACTCTGATTTTATCGCACTTATTGGTAAGCACGCTTATTCCTCTTGCCCACACACTTTTCATGTCCAAAATAGCTATTTCTCGACATCTTTACCTCCGTTTAGCCTTTACTTGCACGAGAAGAAGATTTAACGGATGAATTTTGGCATTTTATTACCTGACAAATACTCCAACTTTTGTAAATTTTACACTCTCTCAGCTTTGTTCAATTTTAACACTATATGACTTCATAATGAAGCGAATAAAGTGCGCTTGATATTCCGCTCAATTCGCCATGATGTTTCGACTCAATGAAGCAAGTAAAGTTGTGCCTGATATCCCGTTCATTTCACTGTGATATTTCGAAGGTGTGCCATGGATGCCAAAGCTGCCCGCCATAAAATCTCTTGAAGCTAATGGTGATCACTTTACTTGTAAGATCTCAATGAAAAGAAGACTTTCAACTTTAAGCGAATAAAATGTACCCGTGAAAGGTATACTTTCAAGCAACAAGTCAAGCAACAATACACTTACCTCATTATGCTGCCTATTGCACATAGAGCATATGGTTGTTCCAAAACGTCATTCATTCAGCATACTCACAATCCCGTTACAGTAAGATTCAAAAAACGGAAGAACGAGGTATATGTGCTATAATGAAATGGTCCACTCGCTTTGCTTGTGACAATCGTATAACATGAAACTACACAACAACATTGATTTTTGCAGCTTGCAGAAAACTAGGCTCTACAAAAAAGCCAGACAACGCAACCGATCGCGATTCAATACTCAAGTACTTTAATGATATGAGAGAGCAAATAGCCAAAAACCAAGTTTCTGGAGGCCCTAGCTTTAAGAAGGCGAAAAATATGTACAAATTGGTGAGTCTCTCCAGTTTGGTTACTAAGACTACATTTGATAATTGCACCTGTGAGTCTTGAACATATTTTTGAAATCCCCTAATGGAAGCTGGAAAAGGCACTAGGTACTCACCGTTAAAAGTCTCAATCCCTTTGTCGCCTACTCATCACTATACTATCCTTGCAAATTAGCATAATGAATGACAGCGCATTGCTACATAGACCGAACTCGTCATTGTTTTCTATGATGGCAACGCCCAGAGAATCGCTGTTCCTTTTTTGGACCACTCACCTTCCATTAAAGCCCAACAAAAAAAACTTGAAGTCGCGCCGCGGCTCGATCATGGCAATCCTCATATTTTCCAAAGGCAAATGGCACACAGACCTTAATTCGGACTGAAATTTCGTAATTTTGAGAATTTGCTTGATTTTACCACAAACAGCTCTGTCATGATATGATTTCTTAGCACTATGTTGAGTTTTCACAAAGTTCGTGGGAATGTAATGACTTTGAAAAAACTGCTGATTTGCGGCAGATTTTTCCGAAGATTCAATACCATGCATAATCTCTATAAGCACTTGAACCTGTAAGCCTCCGAATGAGATGAGAGCAGAATGGCCAAAATGAGCGCCGAATGTTGCACTGTATCTTAGGTGCTCATCGAAGATTACTGTTCAGTTTGAGTTTAGTATTTATCACTCATTTTGGCCTAGCATCTTGTCTCTTGTTCTTAAATTGAACATTTCCTTATCAAGCTAAATATTCAAGTCAGTGGCTGTTTAGCATGGCTGTTAGAAGCTCTTCCGAAAGAGAGTCAACATCGATGATTGCTGAGTATTTCAGTTCTGGAACTGTAGTATGGAAAAAAAGTTAGAAAATCTGTTGGGAAAAAGAAAGGAGCCACTTTGACGAAGGATTATGCGCAAAACTACGCAATGTAAGTTTACTTACAGGTAAAGGATTTCCAAACTGTCACATTACCTGACATTACATTACTTGTCACATTACACATTGACATACCTGTCACATTTTAATGGGAAGCGGAGTTCATGGTGCTTTAACAGTTGCTTTCCCTTTCCTCTTGTTTATCTCTCTCGACTACTTCAGAAGAAAAGCAAGGTCTCAACCCAGAAGTGCTTGGCCGCTGTAAGCGTTTGATTGCATTAGAATTAAGTCGTTCCAAAGGTAATGTCGCTTTTTTCAAGTGAACGCTGCATTTTGTGGAAGCAAGATTTCTAGAAGAACTTGGTAGCTTTCAATGCCGCATTTCATTTTCTAATAATTATATGGGCATTGCACAATGTTCGACAAGCTTCAAAAAAATCACCAAGATCAACTTATCCTTTTTGAGTAGGTCAAGTTTCACAATTTTTCTAAATTTTCACAATAATCATCCGAAGAAGTCCAAGTAACAGGTGGATTAAGCAAACCCCGTAGGAAACAGCACGATTTTTTCTACTTTCTATAGCTCGTCATAATTTTTCTAGGGATTTTCAATGGACTCACCGAATTTTAGCATGCTTGTCTCAGACACAAATGCATCAAACACCAATAAATTTTCCGATTATGATTTGATACTATTTTTACAAAGCAAATGAGCGTTTGCCGCTTCAGATTAGCAACTTTTGGAAATTTCGAGTACAGCCTGGGGCTCTTGGAAAACCTGAATTATAACGATTTTATCCCGGAACTTCATGAACCGGAAACCGAAAACAACTGGTTGAAAGAAGGGAAAAAGCTGCGTCGAAAGACACCTGAGTTGCTTGCCTGTTATTGTTCTGTGATTTTGAGTTGACCAAATATGGAATTCAAACAATATGTTTCATCTTTATAGATCAAACATTATGTTTGATCGTTATAGATCAAACACTTGCCTAAGGAGTAAAGTTAGACTGGTTGCAAAACCTCTGTTCTACTGCTTAATGTCATTAAATGAAGTAAGATGTATGTGGTACTATATCACCTCAACGATTCTGTCGCTGACTGTTCAAAATTCGTACTTTTTGCATTCGCAACGGATACTGGTAAGTTTATAGATGGAGGGACTTGCAGGAAGCCTGAGACATCTGACTAGGTAGGGGGGCAACGGCAGAAGGCTGCATTTTTCGCTTTTTCCTTTCTTTTTCTAAAAAAACAGACATCAGTTTTTGCAAGACCGCTTGCTAAAGTCTTCCAAACAGTCTCAAAAATATTCGAAGTTTGATCTAATATATCACTTAATATATTTAGTGCACAAAATTAATACATACGGTTTGTGTCAATCAAACTTGTGCTACTTTTTAACTATAAGGCCAAATGATTCCTATACTACTAATTAAAAGCAAAAGACTAGTAGTTACATCTTGGTAATGCAATCGTAAAGTATATCCTTTGCTGCTTCGCCAAAAAAATTTGAATACTGTTAGGTTGTAGTAAAAGGAAACTCCTTTCATTGAATACATCAAGTTGTTTTGTTTTCCTGGCAGACTTAGAGCACCATTTGATAGCGAAGCAAGCTCTACGAAATGACCACCAAAGATCCGCTTAAATTGAAAATAATTGAAGTCCAGGCAAAATGTGGAGCTAAATTGATAAATTATTTGTCACCAGTGTCCGTATTCATCAACGGCTTGACTCAAGTGAAGCTAGTGGGTAAGCAAACCAAGTGGGCATTCGTGCATATCGTTCTTACCCAATGAATTTGCGAAGCCACGGATTACAAATCTATGAGTAATGGAACCCACTGGGTTTTTGATGGTACGGTCACTGGAAATTGCTTACTGCTAAAAACGGAACGTCCAACGTGGTCGATCTACAGTAGACACAGAGCAGTCACAAAGTTTTCACTGGGTTTTCCACGCGTAGACAGCGGAAAAAAATAGTCCAAAAATGGCAACTCCGCCCCTGCTCCTCCTACATATGTGTTCGTATTGATGCAACCCATAGTAAGTGTTACCTTGAAATTTATGCCTCTGTGTGTGCCTTGGTAAAAAGAAACACCAATTTCAACATAATAAACCCGAAAAAGCGACATTCTTTCCTTTTCGGGCACTTCTCAACTTAAGCCCAGAAGAAATCACCAAATGCTTTTGGGCACTACTATGTGTTTACTGTTGGAGGAATTTTTCGGAAGGAGATCCGATTTTTAGTAATATTGGTTTTAGGCTCAAAATTTTACCTAAATTACTTTTACTTAGGGTACTTACCTTTTGGTAGTCACTCTGTAGAGCCTGCTTCGCTCTCTCAAAAGGCACCAAAAGTTTGCCAGGCAAACAAGTATAGTTTATTTATCTAACTAGCTGGCTTACCCGGCTCCGCCGTATCCGGACCAAACTTGGCACACATACACTTCGGGCCCCGGCGGGTGTCACAGTCCACTTTTCGTAATCGATCGATGTCGATTTTACCGATTTTTATCGATTTTTTCGCAGAGTTCACCTACAGGGCTAGGAGTTGGCACAGGGGGGAAGTGAGCATGGGGATTCCGAATACAATATTAGTTTTCAGAATTATCGGTTACTTTTATTGATTTTCTCGATTTTTTGTAAATTTTGACATGCGAGGCTGGGATTTTGCACAGGGGGGTAATCGAGCATGCTGATTACGAACACAATATTAGTTTTCAGGATCGTCCATTACTTTTATCGATTTTATCGATTTTTTGAAAATTTGAGCTGGGGGGCTGGAATTTGGCACAGGGGTGTAATCGAGCATGCTGATCACCCCCCTTGGGGATGATCAGCATGCTCGATTACCCCCCTGTGCCAACTTCCAGCCCCCTAGCTCAAACTTTGCAAAAAATCGATAAAATCGATAAAAGTAATCGATAATCCTGAAAACCAATATTGTATTCGGAATCCCCATGCTCGATTACCCCCCTGTGCCAACTCCCAGCCCCGTAGCTCAAACTTTGCAAAAAAATCGATAAAATCGATAAAAGTAATCGATAATCCTGAAAACCAATATTGTATTCGGAATCCCCATGCTCGATTACCCCCCTGTGCCAACTCCCAGCCCCGTAGCTCAAACTTTGCAAAAAAATCGATAAAATCGATAAAAGTAATCGATAATCCTGAAAACCAATACTGTATTCGGAATCCCCATGCTCGATTACCCCCCTGTGCCAACTCCCAGCCCCGTAGGTGAACTCAGCAAAAAAATCGATAAAAATCGATAAAATCGATATCGATCGATGACGAAAAGTAGCCTATGACACCCGCCGGGGCCCGTAGTGTATGTGTGCCAAGTTTGGTCCGGATCGGTTCAGAAATGGAATTTTCTATTCGGAACATACGTACAGACAGACAGACATACAGACAGACATACAGACAGACATACAGACAAACAGACATTCAGCTTTATATATAAGATAAAAGGAGTTTACTTTTGGGACAACCTAATAATTTGAATACTATGCATATATCAGTTGATTTTTCTGCGAACATTTTGGAATGAACTTTTTGGTATTTTGAATTTTCGCATATGAAGAATCTATGGTCTAAATCTAGCATAAAACAAAATTACGCCAAACATTATCAAAAACAGCAGATTAGTAGTTGTCTTCCACCCCAAGCTACGTTTACAACTGCTCAACGTACAAGCACTTACTCCTGTGTAACGCATCTTTTAAGAGGATAACTTCTGTTACATTATTTGTTATCTATTTTGGAAAATCCAAAAGTTTCACCAGCCTGACTGATGCCGCAAATGCACAAACGATCGAAGAGTTTACTGCAGTTACGTATAAACAAACCCAAAATTTCAATTTTTTATCTGATTCTATTCTCTGCGTCCATTTGCGTAACATTCTACAATTAGGGCCCGGCATGAGTCTTTTTCTAGGCTTTTTGAAAACGAAGTCCCCCTTGACTTTCTCCAAAATTTTCTCCAAGATTCCTTTGTCCCCAACCCTAGAAACCGACACGAGTCGGTTTCTAGGGTTTCTGAAAACGATCATGCGTATAAGGCGCGGGGGATTTTTTTCCAAAACCGACTAGCCCAGACAAGTCAAAGGACTTTACAACCAAAGGACCCAATAACGTGCTGTACATTGCTTGCGAGAACCGTGCGATGTAAGGATTTCTTTCCGGCCTTATATGCGTGAAATCAGGTTATTAGTCTGAAAGAAAAAACGTGAGATAAGAGTGAAAATTCAGATTGGAGCTGAATACTATGCATGCACAAGAGTTTAGCACTGGAGCGCGATATTTAACAAAGCGACTTATGAAGGAATTAAGGCAAAAAAAGAAGGAAAGGCAGTGTTTCGAAAATGTTTTATGCTTAGGGATAGATTTTTGAATGGGGAATCCGTCCATAATAGAAAAATTTAAAACTTATGTGAACTGACAAAAATATATGCTCCAGACGATCTCAGATCGTCTGGTGGCTGTCTGGAGACGATTTAATTTTGGAAAACGTATTACTTCACGTAAGTTTTCAAATCTTTTTGCATAATTCTTTTGCAAATAATTTTCCATGTATACAGTTCAGTTTTGGGCCATATAATTCTGTGTGCGCTGTAAACAAGCAATTTGTTTATTTTAGCCTTGCTTTCAAATCGTGCGCACTTTTCGCCATATGCGATTGAGCATGTAATCTTGTGATAACCTGTCCGAAAAGCTTGTGTTCGACTAAATGGCGCTTATTCTTGGTGCACGGCCCCGACTCGTCAAAAATGATATCTTTTTTGCTTTTTGTTCCAAATACGAAGTTCAGCCTGTTCCAAACAATCTGTGCCGGGCCCTGTCTACAATTTTACGTTTGTTCGTCATTTTCGAAAAACCATATCATCTTTGAATCTTATTGGAATTTCTTCAAGTTGTATTTGACCAGAAACCAACAAACCAGCTGTTTTCAACCAGAAAGCATCTACCTGTAGGAGCTTCTCGCGGTGGTTAGTAAGCAGAGTTTAGAAGTTAAAAGTAAATAAAAGAAAACTTAAGGTTGGCATTTTTCAAGCAGGGACACAAGAGATTTTGAAGATATTCTGGTTGGAGAAAATTATGCGCACAATTACCCTAATTTCACGCGTACAAGGCGCGGGGTGGTCCTAGCTTTCATCGAGCTGCTCATCCGCTCCAACGTGTTTTAAGAAGCGATCCTTATGCCGCACGATTCGTCAGGCAAAACGCAGCACGGTATGGGGTTCCTTTGGTCGCGAAGTCCTTTGCCGTGTTCGCGCTGGTCGATGAAAGCTAGGACCACCCCGCGCCTTGTACGCGTGAAATTAGGGTACTACACCCTTGCATAAATTGAAAGGAGGAAGATCAAGAGTTAAAATCAAATAAAGAGACTCCAATTTCGTGATTGAGCCTGCTCAAAAAGTCTAAAAACGTCACACCGAAAATCGAATTTCAAACCAACATGGCGATTATAACCTCTTCTTTCTAGCTTAAAAATTCGTGCGCTGTAGGAAGAGTGCTTTCTGGTTTAGAACAGGAAGAGTATGAAGAATTCCATTGAGATGCAAAGAGGTTGCGGTTTTCTGAAAAAGAAAAGTAGAGAACGGACTTTCGGATCGACCCAATATTTGGGCACGCTCTTTCTTCCAGTGACACTCCGGTGCCTTCAGCGTTTCATAAACAAGAGTGAAGAAGCTCTAAGAATTTTTAATGCTTCTAAAAATCTTTTTTTATATGCTTCGTGCAAAAATCAACACAGGAAGCTCGAGAGTTTTGATTTTTTGAAGAAATTTTCTTGGTTACGTCGATTGCAAAGATGGCGCGCATCGACGTCAACGGCTCAGAAAGGTTTGTGGAAATGACTGGTGATTGTGTCATCCCCCCCCCCCCATCTTTGCCAAAAACTATTTACCATACCCTGCTTGGTTAACGCATCCTCCGCTCTCGCTATTCACGAAAACCAACTCGTATAAAAATGGTTACAAACAAAATTCCACCTATATAGTGGGAGTTTTGCGCGCGGACCGCGGATGTGACGCAATTGATAGGTAGACCTTTGAACTCTGTCCACATACCTTGAACATGAGCTTTTTGGAAGCTTCCAGATTTTTGAGGAATAAAAATAAAGTATAAAGGAAACTATCCTCCAACCTAGCAGCTTCAAAGGAAATCGTAAACGAAAGGAAACCTGTGTTTCAGGCTGTAATAAGTAACTGGGATGGCGCTCTATTTATGCAAAAATGAGTTGTAAAATATCCAAATGGAATTTTATTCAGATTGACACTAAATACTGCTGCTGGTAGTGCCGCTTACTATACTCTCAAGGCGACAACAAATTGGTTTCAACCAGTCGTAAACTATGGTCTTGACAAGAACCAACCGTACACATCTGGCTTAGATGATTTCGCTAATGTGGGTTTGGTTATTTATATCTGAAGGTAATCTATACCTTGATTTTGGAAAATTTTGCAAAGTTTAGATGGTCAATGCGAAGGCTACGCAAATTGCGTGCGCTTACATAGAAGATACTGCCGCTTCAGAGACACATTACTCATGCATCTTCAACGTGTAAGTGTTTCTATATATAAATCAATTTCTAATCAGTGTTTTCTATATATACCATCAATTCTCCCACTCTAGTTGTCAAATTAACTTATTCTGCACATTTTACAAAAAAAACGATATATTTTTCAAGTACTGGCTTCTCCATAGTACCTTAAATGACCAAACCCAAGTAAACTACATTGATATACAGGAATGAAGACCAATTCTGTGTTGGATGCAACATCGTGAATTCAAATATTTACAAGAAGAAAGAGAAGCACTAAGTATTAAGCAGCCTGACTCGCACTTCGTATAGTTGTGAGAGTCATCAAATCAAAACGAGTCGAGGACAAAGTGCATCACTTTTGCATTACCCGGATCAGAACACAAAAAAAATCTAGATCTGACTGGCACTTCCTTACTAACATCCTGAAAACTACTCCTTCTCACTGTTTATCCTTTTTTCGATAATTTGTGCAGAAGACAACTTTGGGCGTTTCGCTTACCATTACATGCGTTGTTCTTCTTATCTAATACAGCAGGATGTGTCAAACAGGCTGCAGTAATTGTTCTGTTCAGTAAACCAATCAAAGGTCAAAGTATTTATGAGAATGGAACTCCATGTAAGAAGTCTGCGGACTGCACCACGTATCCAGATTCATCTTGTGAGAAGGCTAAGGGGCTGTGCGTATACACAGAAGACATACCAGGTGGGTGATCGAGAATCCTCAGGATAATAGTTTATTTGGATGTTTTTGAGTGCAGCATGTTTCTTTTTGAGTTCGAAGCTTCGCCAGAAATTGTTTTGTTCGCTTTTTAACACGTTGACGACCTTGTGTATCCGCACGTATGCACGCCCTGACTCCCGTTTAGCATTTTCGTGCATCCGCGCATATGCACGCTAGTTTTTTAGGTGCAAAGGAAAAGTTTCAAGGCAACTTCTATGCAGTAATACTATTAGTGGCCTGATAGTCCTACAGAACACAGGGCATCGCGGCAGCTGTTCAGAAGACGGCCGCAAAAATGGGTGATCAGTACGTTTTTGATGTAGTCAGTACATGCTAATTAGTTTTCTCGAGAAGGTGAAAACTTTGTATAGCTGTTTTGAAATCAAACAAAGATGGATCAGGCAAAAAACATCTGGTTCTACAACGTATTTCTCGAAGAGCGATTCCTCAGATATAGCCATTGCATGGATTATTGGAGGGAAAATCGATGCGAAAACCTTGATTTGTGTAAGTCCTGGTAAGGCTCTGTAATATACCTGTATGTCTGAACAAAGTTCGCATGTTTTATTAATAAATGACAAAAAGACTCCCACATAATGTTTTCGTGCATCCGCGCGTATGCACGGGCCAAATGCGCGAAGGACGTTAGTGGGAGTTTCGCTCAAAATGGCGCGGTCGTCAACGTGCTAAAGGAAGCCTGAAAGCTAGAATGATCAGCTTCTTGATCTTTTGGGTATAAGTATATCCAAAACATCATTGAGTAGGATGAGAAGGTAGAGAGCTGCATTATGTGCCACTTCAAAATACTTTAATGGTCATTGGAACAATTCAAGCAGGAAAGACTAACAAGATATTAAAACGACTTGCCGGATTGATCCCAACTGACTCTATGTGGTCATTATATGTTCAATTTATGCATCACGAAGGAATTCAAGGAAAACCTTTCATGATGATGTCCACATTCATAGGCATAGAAAATCGAGCTCTGGTATAAGGCATTCAGTCGTGACGATGGCGCGACCGCGCGCAACACGCACGCATTTCTGGCAACTGCATTTTCTTGATTTTCCGCTCTACTCAAATGCTTTTTTCGCTTATATATAATAGTATTCAGATACTGAAAGTGAATGAGCTGAGCTTTGGGGTGATGCCTCTTTGTATGAGTGTTTCATGCTCCTGTGTTCGCGAGGACCGCAGTCAAACCCGTCTTCACGATTTATGAATAACCTATGTTTTCTCATCAATCATAAGATCATTGTCAAAAACGCTATCTAGGCTGAACTGCTGTATCTCCAGGAAGAAAAGGCAAGCAAACGTTGAGCGTAGTCGAGTTAGGTTTTTTGGTTTTTTTAGATTAGCAGGACAAAAAATCATGTCGCTTTCATAATTAGAGTGAAGAAATCTGCCAAATTTGTCTGACCAAACTCTCTCTCTCTCTCTTTCTCTCTATGAATTGAGTTTTGTGAGTCATCAAAGCAAGTATTAGTTGGAGTCAGAAAACTATATAACCATTACACGATTCACAATTCGAAACATCCATTAGCTTAAACATGGAGTAGTCACAAATCCACATGAGCCATCCATTTCTCTAGGCTTTAAATAGATAAAAAAAATTGTTCTCTTTCCCCCCTGCATCATACGAGCCTCATAGTAATGCTGCATTGATATCCCATTGATTGGAAACCGAGCAAATGGAGCCTCTCTAAAGGTCCAGTATTGTAAATTTTACGCGGTTTAACCATCCGCAAATGTTTTTGACCGAGAAGCTGTACAGGCCGCATCTTCCAGCATTTTGTATGTCGCGCTGATCATTTCTGGCTACCTAGAGCCTTTTTCTTTCGGTAATTTTCTTCCTTCAGTGTCAATAAAAGCGATTCAAAGTTGTGCTTTTATCTGCCAATAATGCCAAGCATTTTACAGGTAAGAATAAATGAGATATTAAAATATCCAGATTCTCGATAAGCCTTACTTTGGTTACTGGTTCACAGCATATTTCATGAATTCGATGCATCATCTCCTTCTCAAAAACATGCTTAGCACTGTTAGGTTAGATAATCAATACAATGATAGGGTAGCTGAGATGATCTGAATATGGCATCTGGACTGCTTTTCCCTCATGTTTAATATGGTCATAGTAAAGAGCAGTAGAAACGCTTGCGGATAGTTAGATGTGAAAGACAAGACACTGCAGCTCTAGAAATGCAAAGCCTTCTTCTGAGCTGCGTTTTCCAACCCAGCGATGTTGATCCAGCGGCCCTTAGAAGACAATGATTCTTGCCATGTGGCTTTGCTATGCTATTCCGATTTGCATACAAACCTTTCTGCTTATTTTTAGGATGGTATGATATAAGAGACCTATAGGAAAAGAACCTCAATTTGTAGCTGCGATTAGAGCTCAAGATAGCACATCGTATCTAATCAAAACGCACATAGCTAAATCTTCAATCAGCTGTGATTGGTCTTGCAGGCGGCTACTATTCAATTATATACAAAGATATTCGTCACCATCAACTGTGCGTCTTCATAAAGCATTTAGTGGGAGAGCTTTTTGATTACAGTACGTCGGTGCTATAATCAAAAAGCTGTTAAGACTACTGGCTTTATATCGTTCATCTTACAACACAGCTGATTTGTAATGTATCACTTACTGCAATAATATTTGAGGTTTTGATAAATTTGACGGTAAAGATTGCTTACTTGTTTTGTAATCGCGGTGACATGTTTATCCTGATTTTTTCTACATATACAAAAAGACCAAAACCTACAGACAAGTGCAAAACCGATGGCGCAAAAAGAATACAATTTTGATTTTGCCGCAAACACAAAATTTCATTGAGATAAACTCAAAAGTCCCAAAAAGTTGGCTTAATCTTACGCTTCAGTAGTTTATGAGCTTGCTCTAGGTTTTAAGCGTTTCAGAAATTTTTGTCTTCGCTTGCAAAACCCACGGTAAAGGGTCTCAAGAGCATGTTTACGTCGGCAAGAGTGCCGTTTATTCACATAAAGCTAGGCTACTTCATTTGGGAAACCTCTCGCGCCAAAATCCACGTCATATACAGTTGAAATTTTCGAGAGTACCAGAAAAATGGTTTTTGGAGGGATTAGAGAGATTAGATTCTTGACCAATTGCTTGATTTTCCTTTCCTCCTTTAGTGCACGAAAAACCCTTTCCACTCTTCAATAGAATCGCTTGCTCTTTTAGAGCCGGAACTGACTTCAACCAGTGAGACAACAACGACGGACGTGACTTCAACCAGTGAGACAACAACGACGGACGTGACTTCAACCAGTGAGACAACAACGACGGACGTGACTTCAACCAGTGAGACAACAACGACGGACGTGACTTCAACCAGTGAGACAACAACGACGGGCGTGACTTCAACCAGTGAGACAACAACGACGGGCGTGACTTCAACCAGTGAGACAACAACGACGGACGTGACTTCAACCAGTGAGACAACAACGACGGACGTGACTTCAACCAGTGAGACAACAACGACGGGCGTGACTTCAACCAGTGAGACAACAACGACGGGCGTGACTTCAACCAGTGAGACAACAACGACGGGCGTGACTCCAACCAGTGAGACAACAACGACGGACGTGACTTCAACCAGTGAGACAACAACGACGGGCGTGACTCCAACCAGTGAGACAACAACGACGGACGTGACTTCAACCAGTGAGACAACAACGACGGACGTGACTTCAACCAGTGAGACAACAACGACGGACGTGACTTCAACCAGAGAGACAACAACGACGGGCGTGACTTCAACCAGTGAGACAACAACGACGGGCGTGGCTCCAACCAGTGCGACAACTACTGCTGATATAAACTCAGACAATGATTACATGACGGCTGCAGGAAGGAACAAAGCGGTGAAGACACATAATTATAGGAGGTGAGCGTCTTCCCACGTTCTTCAATACTGCTTCTTGTGTTCTACGGTTACATTATATTGGTATGGTTGTGATGTTATAGTTCCTTTTTCAGAACTTTGCTTGCAACAGGTCAAATAAGAAATGGTAAAAATCCGAGCAATGCTAATTTACCAACGGCTGCATTTATGTCAAAAATGGTAAGCGTAAATTTCATTTCTTGCAAAGCCTCAAAAACATTTCAAAATTGTGTCAATGTAAGTTTTGTCAATGTAGTTAATCTTGAAAAAGTCTACGTAAGAGTTGAGAGAAAGATTGCAGGAATATGACATGGACCTTGAAGCGCAGGCCATAGATTACGCCAAAGGGTGCTCATTGAAAAAATCAGACGAGTCAACAAGACCAGGAATTGGTGAAAACGTTTATGTGCATGACACAGTGATTACGGATCAAGTTGAACTTTTCAATACTGTAAGTCCAGTCTATCCATGGTTCAGCAAAATGCATTGACAAAGAAGCGTAGTGCAAGCGATGCTGCATCCTAAACAATATTAGGCTCTGGATATCGTTAGTTCTGTATGCGCAAACCTCACCCTGTCTTTTTGTTCGACGCTATTTTCAGGGGTGCAACTTGCACCCAGTTTGCCTTAACCGCAAGTAAACACACTAAGCGTGCGCTTTGCGGAGCACACTTCCCTACATTGTGCTCAATCAGTGCGCCTCACGAACAGGTCCTTTGGAGCGTTTAGTTTCAAGGAATTCTGAATGTGGCTTGTACATTATTTCTTATTGGCAGCGTTCGTTTCGAGCGGAGCTCTCAACTCGTGCTCCTCACTTATTTTCCACGCCTATTCGAAGATTTGCTCACTTAGCCTTTTCGCCGCTCAGGGTGGGAAAATTATTGAATGACACTCTTGCAAATGCTGTACGGAGACCCTTGCCAATGTGAAACGACGTAAAGTTGCTGTTGGCCAACCAGAATGCTTTTAGACACCACAATCTATAGTGAGCAACTATCAAATCCTTCACTGAATGATTGCCGATGTATTAGGTTGATTCAAAAGTTCTGTGGCTTTGATTTTGAAAAATCATAAGTGCTCCCTATGTAAACGGATTGAACTACAAAGCATACCTCCAAAAAGGAAAATTCATCTAATTTTCAACCACATCTTCGATGCTCTTTGATGACAAAAGGCTCCAGAGATATTCGAATAGGAAAACCACTCTCAAATTCGTGATTTTCGAAAGTAAATCGTCAAAATGCCATGTTAATGCAAAAAACGTCATTTGCTGTTTTTTGCTTTTTTCACGGAAACAATGACTTTTCCTAGAAAGGCGTGGTTCTCCTATTCGGATTTTTTATCTTTGGAGTCTTTTGTTGTCAAAAGCCATCAAAGATGTGATTAAAAATTAGATGAATTTTCCTATTTGCTTATTTATTTGCATTTTTTGTAAGTCAATACTTTCTCATAGGGAGCAGTTACGAATTTTCCAAAATCAAAGCGACAGAACTTTTGAGTCAACCTAATACTCATGTCTTTCGCCATATTTCTATAACATGAAAAATTTGTAATTCAGAGTAACTATGCTATATAACAGAACTGAAACTCGTTACATCTCATAACATAAGTTGGATATGATACGCCCTTGCAAATATTTTAGCTATAAGCTAGTTCTAACTATAAGCTTATGCTCTGTACCTGATTTTGGGAGGAGGAAGGAACTACGTGCTTTATTATATTAAGTTGAGCGTCAAAGGAGCACTAAGGAGTCTTATAACTCTAAACGGCAAATTACCTAGTTTGATCTAGAAAGTCGTTTGTGTTCATATTTACTGCGAGTCATGCTTTGTGTTCATATTTACTGCGAGTCATGCTTTCTTAATAGGTTGCCATTAGTTGGTGGACGCAAATCTTCAAGGATGGAATCAACAGGCAATTGATATTCTCAGAGAACCTGAGAGATAAACAAGCAAAGAAAGGCATAGATCAGACAGCCTTCACTCAGGTTGGTACACTACCGCATCAGTGGAATGTGAAACAATTTACATATGTTCAGATGGCCTGGGCAAATACCAACAAAATAGGATGCGCTGTTGTTGATTGCTCTGGAAAGTCCTTCGTTGTTTGCCGCTATAGCCCTGCGTAAGTTTGTGCAGTGTCTTCCTTCTCTTACGAGATTTGCGTAACTAATTCGATATCATACCTTTTCTCAGTGGAAACATTCTGAACCAAACAATATATCGAATTGGAAATGTATGCGGATTATGTGGCGGAACTTGCAGTCCGGATGTTGGACTATGCACAATGACATGAAGAAGACAGTATTGAAGAACGACACTTCAATAAACTCTGCAACATTCCGCCTTTTTCATAATGTGTAAAAGTTTTAGAGTGCGATGTAAACACAAGCAAGTATCGATACTATATTGTAAAACTCGGAATGGCTTTGTCAAAGCGGGGTATAGGAGAGTTTTTCAAAAAGAGTGTGAACATAGACTGCTTCAAATTCAGAAGTAGTTTTAACTTCATTCATTGATGTATGTAAAAGCGTGGCATTTGACTAAGTTATTGCTCTAGTCTCGCTGCGAAAGCCATAACTTGAAGCGAGGCAATCGCGCTCTTAAAGGTAAATGCGGTTAGGGTTGCCACGCTTATCAACGCGGGTGAACTTACGATAATGAGGGAAGGTAAACTGACTAGTACCTAGAAATGTCAAGAATGCGCTATGCATTTTTTTTGAAACTTGTCTTCGACATTCAGGTATTTTAGAGTCGGTCACGAACTCATCAGCTTAGATGATCCTTTTAAGGGCGTGGCGACCCTAGCATTTCCATGTTCTCTTCAATGCAGTACAGGAGGATTACTCCCTCTATGCAGAGTACTGATAAACGACTCACACATAGGGGCCGGCACAAAGGTGGCAAGCGGACACGATTGCCTTTGCCAGTTTCGGTACCGCTTGATCGGGCCCGCTGCATAAGTTGTTTGATTGAAGCACGCTTTCTTCTTTAAGAGTACCATCGTCGTCGCTAATTTATTGGGGGAAATTTGGAATTTTTCACCGAATAAAGGAAAATCAAATAAACTCAAAAATGAAGAATTTTGATTGAACGACTATTGAAAAACAGTCGAGATCAAAATTCTCGAATGAATGCCAAACAACATCGAAAACCAAAATTATCCGATGAATGAGTATTGACTATATTCGAACATTGAGAGTTGAATTTCGATGAGTAGTCAAATGATTCATCGACTATTTAGATCAACCATATTTAAATTTTGCTGACATAGGTGGCTAGAGCCAATTTTCAAAATCAGACCTTCGCACCCCTATGCCACTTCTCAGAAACGGCATCCACAAGCTACGAATACTCATCAGCTGCAGCGGCTGAGGCTGTACATGGACCAGTACCGGCCATAACGGACCGAGCGTCTGGAAGAAAAGCGGACAGACACGTGTTACATGGCTGACGCGACTGCTGAATCGAATAGTAGACTCCAGAAAGATGCCGAGCGACTGGTGTAGAAGTACGACGATATCGATATGGAAGAATAAAGGCCGTATAGCTGAATGTTCCACATACAGGCCTATACGACTTATGAGCCACACGTTGAAGATATTCGAAAGGATACTAGAGAGAGGCTCCGAAACATCATAGAGTTGGCATCCAATCAATGTGGATTCGTGAAAGGCCGCAGAACGACAGAATCCATACCGCCAGAATAGTGATGGAGAGAAGCAGGGAAAAACAATGTGAGCTGCACACAGCGTTCCTCGACCTGGAGAAGGCGTTCGACAAGCTGCCGCATCACATCATATGGTGGTCGTCACGAAAGCATATGGTTCCAGAAGAGTACGTGCAGTGGACTAAGATGATCTACAAGAATGCGACCAGCTACGTGCAGTCAGCAGCAGGAAGATCAGAAGAATTCCCGATAAAAGCAGGTGTGCATCAAGGATCTGTACTGTCGCCACTGCTCTTCATCACAGTCATGGATGCGATAACCAGTAGATTCATACGTCAACGGGCTGTGATATATGCGGATGACGTGATTCTGATGGCAAGAAGCAGGAATGAGCTAGAAGACGATGTACAGATGTGGAAGACTCAGTTGGAACAGCATGGCTTAAGACTCAACACAGTAAAGACGGAGTACATGGAGCTTGGAGCCCAGACCCCAGGAACCATTCGAGTGGCAACACGATGATCAAGAAGACTACCACGTTCAAGTATCTAAGAAGTCGTATCGCCGCAGATGGAAGCCTTCACGGAGAGATACTAGGTAGGATAAACGCGGCTTGGAATGCTGGCCGAGCACACGCAACGACGAACGAAGACTCGGTGTAATGGAGACGAGAATGCTGCGATGGACCACTGGAGTCACCATGCTAGATCATGTCTCGAACGACACCATCAGAAGTACAAAAGGTTGCTCCGATCATAAAGAAGCTACAAGAGAAGCGCCTACGATGGTACGGACATGTAAGTAGAAGAGAAGAAAGCCATATCACAAGACTCACCCTGTCACTGAATGTTCCGGGAAAGAGGCCAAGAGGCAGACCTAGAATGAGATGAATGGACAAGATCAAATCAGTCCTAAGAGAGCGTGGATTAGATGAAAACCAAACATCGAACCGTGAAGAATGGAAGAGACTTACGAGAGTAGCAGACCCCGTGTGAACGGGAAGATGGATTTAAAAAAATATGCCACAAACGCTATAATACATTGCTTATTTATTCATTTATTTACGACATTACTATAGTGCTGTGCTAGATAGTATAATCGCTAAAATCGAAATGATGCAAAATATATACGATGGAATATGTACTGACGACTTGCTTTCATTTTCACATCGCTAAATCCTCTTCGTAAAAATCATAAACAAGATTGCAAAGTTCCGGTTATGGTAAATAGATTTGGGAAGGTGTGTTTTGCCAGTGTATTAGTATGCGAAGTCATCTTTGCAAAAAGATCAAACACTATTAAAAGCTTCTATCCCACGCATGAAGAATGGGTATTAGCATGTTTGCCCAAAATAACGGAGCACGATGGGATACCCTAGTGCAAGTAACAAATTCTTTCGAGTGGCATGCATTGTTGGTAGTACCTAGGCAATATAATAATTCCACTTGTAGGCGTCCATTACACTACCGAGCGCCTCCACTTTCTCCGCGTTTAAGCATATGAATGTAACAGATGGAAGATAAAAGCTTTCAATAAATTAAAGATACGTCATACTTAAAGGCAGTGGCTCGGCAGAACCGGACATTTTGAGACTCTTATATGGAAGGTTGCTTGCACCCAAAACATGAGAACGGAGCAGGTCTGAGCGCACACCATGCTGCCCCTGTCTAGAAAATTGTCCCTAAACTTGTGCGCGCAAGTCATTCTTACACCTCGGCCGAACTTGCGATATTCCTTACGTCGTCAGCGGCATGCCGCAATGTTATGAACATGATAGTCCCACAACGACTCTATGTCTCTAACCAGCGTTGGTGGGGAGCGTTCCCCTCGTCAAAATTCAAAATGCGGGGCTTTAGGTTGCGTTCATACTGATCCCGAGGTCCATGAACAGTCTCAGCACAGCGCTCATTTCAAGCGCTGTGCTGGAACTGTTCCCGGACTTCGGGATCAGTATGAACGCAGCCTTAGAAATGTTGGTTCTTGCCATTTTCGCGCTCTCTAGAATGGATTTCCTGAATCAGCGCTCGATTTACCCCAGAAAGAAAACCACAGGACGAGAATTTGCCGAGCCACTGCCTTTAACGAAAGTAGAGCAAGCAGGTAAGATCTGTAATTCATGTAAATATTCAACTAATGATTTTGATTTGGCAGGAGATTTGAAACAATGCGAAATAGAAAGCTTGAGATACATATTAAAGTAAAATATTAATATATTAGTTACTTCTCAATCAAGAAACTAGTATAGGATTAATAGAGATAGAGCGCTTTGAGCAGCAAAATTCAAAACGGTAGTATATTAAGATGTATGAAATTCTGACAAGGAAGGATCCCAGGTCGCAGTGACAAACCAAAACGGTATGCTTATCATTAGATGCGTCTTGATAAGGTAATTCAAAATCTCTCTTTCTTGCTTGCTAAGGGCTTCTCTAGAAGAAGTTATGGGCGGTTAAGAATTTGAAGTCATTGAGGTTCTGGAGCGTAATGTGTTTTGAAAATCAATTTGGGAGTGAATGATTAGCATGGTTTCTAATGCATTAAATACAAGTAATGTCTACATAAACCGAGCACAGAAACAAGTATCTTTAAACAATTAGTTCTTGAAGATGTAGCACCGAATGTTTGCTAAATTCGGATTTCCAAACGTTCATAACTTCTTCTAGAGAAGAACTTACAATGCAAGCATGCTTAGTCGAAGTCACGTTTCTGGAGACTCATACCACTTTGAATAGCATTGCGTGGTGGCTCCAAATCTGTCTTCGTTTCGTCATCGACCACAGTGATATCAATTGTTTTGTGTTGTAATTATTCAAGTTTTGCTTGTGTATTGTACAACAGTATTCGTTGCTTGATTTGGAACCTTCCCATGCTAATCTGACTACAATCTACATTAAGCTATGCTGCGGCAAAGGCATTAGTGCGCAGCATAGCTTGATGCACAGGTGCGATAAGGTGAGAATGACTCCTCCGAGGTGAAGGGTGTTTAACTGGGTAGAGAAATAATAAAATGTCGACGGGGGGGGGGGAGCCATGGTGTTTTCTATCATTTTTTCCTAGTCAAAGTTTATTATTCCTTACCATTATTGATTATCTTTTTTCTGAAATGTGAACCGCTGTGCTGCTGGATTAGCACAAAATTATATTTCTGACCAGCACCTTGTATTTTTTGACATTTCATTTTCATTTTTTACATCACCCTGCTTGTTTTTGGAATTACCGTAGAAGATGTGCATGCGAGAACATTTGTTTCGGAAAGAGTTAGACAATTTTTAAACATTTACGAATTTTTTCAAAAGAATAAATTTGTAATTTTTGTAGATGAACAGCAACGTCAGCAAGGGAAATGTTTTTAAAACCACCTTGTCTTCCGCTTTTAGAGAATATATAGTTTGCTTGGAGTCTGTTGAAAAAGTGTCTGGTGAAGAGTGTGGGTAGTATTTCTTGACATTTACGAGTTTTTAGGATAGAAAATTCCGTAACTTCTGGAGATGAACACCTTTTACGCCGAGATAATCACCACTGGAACCGTCTCCTGAAGTCCGTTAAAACAACTGCCTGGGTGAAGGGTGTCCTTTCACAACTTTTGTAGACGAACATCTTGTACGCCGCGATATCACCATTGGAACCGTCCCCTCCTCTTTCAGAAAATATATACTTTGCCTGGAGTACGTTAGAAAAAGTGCCGGGTGAAAGGTGGGTGAGAGTTATATAATGGGTGTGCTCAAGTAGA